GTAAAAGTGAGAAAACTCGTGGGTTGAGATAAAGACAGTTTAATAGGGAAAGCAAAAGCCACATGTGCAAGCAGAGCAAAACAAGGAATTCATTCACTGCTTCCCCTCAGCAGGCAGGTGTTCAGCCATCTCCAGGAAAGCAGGGCTCCATCACACATAACAGTTACTTGGGAAGACAAATGCCATCACTCAGAACGTCCCACCTTCCCTTCTTCTTCCCCCAGCTTTATACGCTGAGCATGACGTCATATGGTGTGGGATATCCCTTTGGTCAGTGCGGGTCAGCTGTCCCAGCTGTGTCCCCTCCCAGCTTCTTGTGCACCCCCAGCCTGCTCGCTGGTGGGGTGGGGTGAGAAGCAGAAAAGGCCTTGACTCTGTGTAAGCACTGCTCAGCCGTGATGAAAACATCCCTGTATTATCAACACTGTTTTCAGCACAAATCCAAACCATAGCCCCATACTAGCTACTGTGAAGAAAATTAACTCTATCCCAGTCAGAACCAGCACAGGTGGATACATGTGAAAATAGCTATACAGTAGGAAAGCATTGCAGAACAGATTTTCAGGTCCCATTTCACTGGTGATACTCCTTCTTATGCTTATCCACATGCAACAGGAGTCCTCTATTCTTTCAAAACTTGACAGCATCAGTTTAGAAAATTGGATTGTCTAATCATGCTGCCTTCTGATGACTGAACAGATACCTGTCCCGTAAACTACTCATTTTTGCAGATACTGTGATGTGCCAGTAAGGAAGGTGCTTTCTTCTTGAATTGCAGCAAGGTACCAAACACAATCATTATACATGACACAAAACATTAATGATCCCTATAAGTATAATGAGAATAAAAAATAAAAATACAGTCTCTCTATGTATTCATTAGAATCTTTAATTCTTTATATTTTAATTGACAAAAATTAACTCTGTCAATAGATCTCATCTGTTCTGTAGTTTGAGGCAATGCCATTTACTGTACATAACCCTTGGTTGTTTTATTCTGTCAGTATATCTCAGTATGTTTTCCAGGTACCTTTGTGCTTTCTATTGGAAACTGCCAAAACACTTTCTTTTACTGGTTTGTTTAGATTGTATAGTTTTGAAATATTTTCCGTTTTGGATAAACCTCCTCTTGGAAAAGCCTTTGGGAAATTTCAGGGGCAGATTAATGTGAACTTTTGGTAAGGATCTCCAGTATGCATGTCTCTTTTGATAGACTTCTTTATGTAGCCTATCTTTAGATACCACATGTTTTCTTGTATGTATTTTAAATGTTGATTCTTGTTCAGACTTTAGGAGCTGAGCACCTTTGGGAATAGTTTAGATCCTCACAGCTGTGTGGTACCTTTGTGTTTAATAAAATCAGCATGCTTCGCTTCTGTTAAAGCACAGGGTTATTTTCAGTGTCGTTTCCTTGAAGCTTCCATTAGAATCAGATGTTAAAGTCTGAATTTGCAGTCAGAGTGGATAGTTGCTGCTGTGTGGGATGATGGGTACCTTCCCTCCTTCCCCCTCCTTCCATGTCAGCTCAGATCCCTTCCAGTTGAAATGAAGCACCCGCTAATCATAAGATGTATAAAGTAGTGAAGACAATTCTTCAGAAAGACCTATGCCAACTCCACTGCATAAAAAATTCAGTTGCTCCTACCTTGTGAAAGTCTGCTGTGTTTGTGCATGTGTCCTCATATATCTTCTGTTGAATGTTGCCTAATTTCTTTTGATATCTGACTAACCTCAATGCAATTTCCTCAATTGTAGAAGTGGCAGAAAACTTTTACGTAACATGAACTAATAGCAGCAGGTCTGTTCTGTTCTAGCTGTTGAATTATTCTGCGACTATTATTCGAGTCCCTCAGTATTTGCCATTTATTTGGATGATTGATGGCAGGCAAGTTAGACCACAGGCTCAGGGCAGGGTTAAGTATTTTCTGGTGTATTTTTACAGCATTTGCTGAGATGAGGCCCTGATCGCAAATCAGAGGTTTAAATCCCACTGCGGTACATATCATTAATGGTATGTGGTGTTGCCCTCTTCAGCAGCATGCAGAATAGCCGTGTTTCTGGCAGTGGTGCAGACCCCCTCCTTCAGTCTCCTGTTGGCAGAGCCCCGTCGTGTCTGATTTACGGTTCCAGACTGCAGGCTGGTATGTGAGACTTTAGGTCTGTGTCTGCTGGGAAGGGACTTCTATGTCCCTGCCAGTGGGACTGTGAAAATGCAGTATATGTTTGTCGTCTTCAACTGCAGCACTTGGTAGGTGAGGTCAGAAGGGCATCTGTTCTTCATTTTTGTGCACCTCTAAGGCTAGATAAACACTGCAGTCATTGGTACTTCTGAGTGGGGATGATAGGAATAGGCAAGGAGGTAATTAAAATCTAGATAGTTTTTAAGTGTCTGACAGTTCAGCCAGGTAGCATATCTCATGTATGACTTAGCGAGAGACCTATCTGTGATGGTTGAGTGCCATGAGAAACTAGGCAGCAGAAAGCACCGCATACCTCTCTCAAGTTAAAACCACATGCGTTGAAGGGGATTGCGCTGTTACTGTCTCTGTTTGTGCTAGATAATTCATCTTTTCCAGTATGCTTTGTATCTGTGCTGACAGGATACTTCAGGTCACTAATTACTAATCTTCTGTTTGAGCTATACCAATGCTTATCACTCCTACTACTTCAGTACTTGGCAGACTTACAGTTGAAGAACAGATGCAGAAAACAAGGTGAGAGAAGAAAGAAAAAGTGAATACAAGATATCTTCAGTTGTGTTCAGATGCTATAGTGCTTCCTGTCCTACATGTTATTTATCTTTTGATAGGCAGATGCAGTAATGCCCACTCTAGTCATTTACGTAGCTATATGGATAACTCCCAAATTTTTTTTCCTTGTTGTTGAACTTCTCTTGCAGGGTAGATGAAAGTTCATCAATCCAATAGTGATACTGAGTTTCTTTTGCAAAAAGAAAACAATTTAGAATAATACGTACTTTAAATTGTGGGGCTGTCAAGGTGACGCTGTTATTTTTGCTGTTTATCTGCAGAAGCTGGAAAAGTCTGACTTGGATAAATGGGAGAACATCAGAGGACCCAGTCTGTGGGAAGATTCCAGGACCGTTCAGAAGCAACGGCGGGAGGCTCTCCGTCTCAAGACAGAGTGACTGAGCAAGCCTACTTTGGTGCCACTGCAAAAAAAAAAAAAGTCTCAGGCTGGACTGTCTTATTTTTTAATGCAGTGTCAGGAACAGACATGGGAGGGGGGCACTGCACTGAGCAATTCATGCTGGTGTATATATAAGTAACTGTGAGATCAATCCAAAAGGCATTGTATTATATGAAGCTCTTCATTTGCATCCATTTGCACAGAGTTCCACAGGCTGTATATATGAATTCTCAATTAAAAAAATAGCTGTTTATTCTACTGAGAATATCCCATTGTTTTTCAATCCCTGTCGTTCAAAACTGAGATGCTTCAGCAAGGAATAACATTTCAGGAGTCACTTGTCAGTACCAGAAGTTGTTGTCCTAATGAGAACAACAGTGCTGTCATCTAGATGTGTGTGACCAGATAAATGCTACTTCAGGGACCCCCTGCATGACTTGAGGCTCTTAAGCTTGGAAGGGACTCCACAGACATATGAGCTGTTCAGAACAGTGAGTCCATTTTTGGCTAAATAATATTCTTGTGTTTCATTTCCAGGAACTTGACTGTACAGAGGCACATACAGAGTGTCAGCTGGTAATTGGTCAAATAACATTTGTTTAGCCACGGTTAGATTTTTGTAATTAGTTTATTGATACCTTCGTGCAGGCAGGACCTTTGCACTGGAACTGCTCAGCTTAAGTTGGAAGAATTCTTCCTCACTAAGAGCTGTCCCGTTTCTCTGTGAGCAAGTATTGTAGCAGAATCTTCTTGAACCACTGTGTAGTGGCAAAGCTCATCTTGCATGTATTATTACATGTATATTTGTGCACGTGCACAGAAATTTTTTATCTTTTGATGAATTCTTCTGAAATGCTTGTCTTTTTATATTTGTCTTTGTGTGCTAAATGTTTACTGTTAGAGGAAACCATGCTAACATTCAGGACCCTTCTGCTGAGACAGCTCAATGAAGAAGCATCTAGTCAATTTTTCAGATTAAATGAAGCTTTTGATAAGGTGTTACAACAGACTTGTAAAACTCCTCTTCATGGAAATGGAATAGTAGAGCACAGGTTAACAGTGGATTCTAGTTTCAAAGCATTCAGTGACACCTACATGTAAATCCTTTTGGAACTGTCTTTGGAAGAGGTGTGGACTTATTCCTCTCTGCAAGACGTGTCAAATGCAATCTAAATGTCCTTTTGGACACTTTATTTAGGGTAGCTTCGTTGTCCTCATGTAAATCTTCCCTCAGCACTTAATTTTCTTCAGTCTCTCAGTGATGAGGTCCAGTCTCTCAGGAAGAAGAATCAACACTGATTTTTAAGAGTTGTAAAGCAATTCATAAAGCATTACATGAAATATCTTTGTCATGTTTTTGCATGTTTTCTTCTCATAGAGTTGCAAAGACGGTCAGAAAGTGTTGCATGTTATCTGGAACAAGGCTGGAGCCATGTGTTTGTATGTTTTCCTGTTCAATATCATATAAATCTTTGGTTCTAAATAAATGTACTAACAAATTAAACCAATCAGGAGAGGAACAAGAGGAGCAATACAAGAGTGAGGTAATCATAAATGCCTTTGGGAAACAACGGAAAAACTAGAATATGGAGGTATTAAACTGTGCTAGACCTAGACAAGAAGGAAATCGGTTTCATTGTTTTGTCATTAGTTTTACCTAAAAGATAAAACAACATTCTTAGGCAAATAATATATAAAATAGGACAAATAAGGAGTAATTAAAACTGCGTACCTTGTTAAGCATTTTTTCAAGTCTTAAATTCAAATTCTGGTGCAGTTCCACTGACAGCAGCCAGATTGATGGCTCAAAGGACATCAATGTATTGACTACACTGACGAGAGCATTCTCTGAGTTAGGGCTCCTGCAGCATCACTGCTACTGTTATGCTACTAGCTGGACTACTGGAAATGTTTCTTTACGTTCCCTGATACAGACCCATCTTGTGTGGACTCTGCACATTCCCTATGTCTTTTCCAGGGGATACACATCTTCCTTTTCCCAGCCTTGACTGAAGGAGAGGGGAAGTTGCCATTGCTTTGCATATGGAGAGGCATGATCAGCTCCCAGTCTTGCAACATTGGCTCACAAGATGGACCAACACTACCCCTGAAATAAACACATGGCTTTCTAGGAACAACATGTGTAGGAAAAGCTACCCCTTCCCCCATTGGAAGAAGCAAAGATATTTTTCTTTCATAAAGCCCTTAGGCTTATCAGTTTTCTTGATGAACAAAACACTCACTGAAATATCTTGTGTGTTTTTAGTAATTTGATATCCCACGAAGACTATTTTGGGAATGGTTGTATTATTTCAGCAGGTCTGGAATGTAGCTGTAAATAATTACTTCTACGGAGAACACTTGTTATGTCGTAACTTAGGACCCAGTTTTAGCTGGTTGCTTGCTGGTTGTAGGGTCTCCCCACCCCTCCCTTTTTTTTAGGCACTAAATTTCCTGTACTTTCTGAGGGCATATTTGTAACTACGTTTGAAGTGGCATCTCTGGAAAGTGATGGATTTATCTTAGCATCTCTGAGAAACACTGACATGCAGCTGGAAAACTTTCCAACTTGCCCTGCTCTTCAACTTCCCTTTTAAGAGACAGCCCCTACTATTGACAGTCCACTAAAAAAAAAAATCCACCTTTTTTTTTAATGCTGTTGACTCATTTATGAATTAAAAAAAAACCAACAACAATAACTTTTGGCAGGTACAGAAGCTGTACTTTTCATAAAACGGGGAGAGCTGTTTCAGCAATTTCTCTTCATTGCCATGCACTTGGACAATGGCTTCATGTTTTATGCTGTGCTTTTCTTAGCCTGTGAATTGGAAATAGTACTTACGAAAGGCGTGTTGAGAGTCAATTAAAGTCTCTTAAGTTGTCATGCATCCTAAAGTAGAAGGCACTCTAGAAATGTGGAGAATTACAGTTCACAACGCTAGCAAGAGAGGCAAACTTCAATTGGTTCAGGACTCGTGTTTAGTTTGGCTGCTTATTTGAACTATCCTTTTGAAAGCCACATTACAGCACTTCTGGTTATCTCTAAGGCACCTGGGGACAACCTTGTTGAATTCCTGAATTGTTATTCTAAACATCTGTGGCTGGCGGGGGTCAGAGACAATTAAATGCAATTGTCAGTCTGAGACACTGACTGACATTTTTGCATCCTCTTTGGTTACTGGCATATACCGGTCTGAAAGTAATGAAAACAAGGCTTTAGTGAGAGGTGTGAAGTATTAAAGGGGTAAAAGAGAGCACTGAAGAACCCAGATCTTGTAGTCAGTGTTGCTGAAATTAGAAATAAAAGAAGGAAGTCTGGCTAGGTGTCTGTGAGTGTGTGGACTGACAAATCAGTTTCAAAATCCCTGTTTTGACATAGAATCATGGAATGTCCTGAGTTGGAAGAGACCCACAAGGATCATAGAGTCCAACTGCTATCCCTGCATAGGACAGTAGAGGAGAAAGTGTTTCTCTCTCAAAGAAACTGTGGCAAGGTTGGTCTCTGGGATCTTCCATAACAAGAAAAGCAGTAGACCATTGAACTGGAGCGAATCTGGGACACGTCTCCAGGAACAGGGAGAGCTCAGTGTTGCAGCAGTGGGTATCTGGCTGGATGGTTCCCAGCGGCAGTTATCTGCACCCCAAGATGCTAACCAGATCTTTGTATGAGATCAGCCCTGTGGATCCTGCTGATTGAATTTCTTTCTCCTCTAGCACTTTGAACGTGCAGACTCATGGATGGCCCAAAAGAGAAAATGCTCAATATCTTAGTTCAGCTGTAACACAGATGAAGGAGAGGCTTAGTGAAAGCTGTAGCTACTGTGATCCAAAAAAGGTTTCAAAACCTGCTCAATAGCATAGCAGTTGAATTTCAAAGCTCCTAAATACATCTGGATGAGCAGCTGGGTGTTAAAAACTTTTAGAATCAGGATGCAGAGAACAATCTTGCCTATAGTGATCCTCCAAGATCTTGACAATGGCTCCAGCTACCTAAAAAAGGTAGGCTATGGCATATAAGAGATGAGCGATAGGAGTTTTAGACCAGAATATAGAATGCAGAAACTTCTGAAAAACAACTTAAACATACCCCATCATCAGCTGGGGACCAATCCCAAAAAGCAGAGGGAGAAATCCATTTCTTCACAGAGAAGCAGCAACTTGGAGTGATCTAAAGGTCACCGTTCACTGGATGTTTTACATGGACACTTTTTGTTTAGCTGTATGTGCATGTGTATAGGTGAAACTTAAAGCAGTAGGTTTCACCTTCTGAAATAACTACACAGACCCTTGTACTTCTTGATGATCTTGCATTTGCTGTGAGTCCCTATGTTTGAATTTCCAGCACAAGTCCAGGGCAAGTTTCAGTTTTATAGCTTCTATTTTCCAGAGGCTTTTCTTTCTGTAAGAAATGGGAAAGCCTAATATTGTCCTTTGGTACTAACTGCTTTATGTCCACTGGAAAAAAATAAGAATAAAGAAACAGAGAAAAGAAGGGAATGATCTGAAGTCTTAGGGAAAGCAGAATAACTGTTTTTACATGAAGATGGTGACAGAATTTTCCATAAACTTTTATGTTTAAAAAGGCTGCTTTTTGTTCTGTGTTTTCAGTGGAAAACCTCTTTTCATCCTTCAGTGGAGTAAGGTTCACAAAAAAATTTCCAGTCTATTTTAGACTAGCTAACGAGAAGGTTTGAATCAAAGGAAGGTAATTGCTCGCGGTTAGGCCTTCTTTTCCTACAAGGACTTGCAGCCAGACCCAGCCAAGGCACAAATAGTCTCTAGACTTAGAAACAAAAAATCCATGCAGATGTTTTTCTTAAACTTTTCCTCAGCCCAGGAGACCAAAGCAGTCTTTCATACCACTGGAATCAGACCGACCATATTTTCTTGTTGAACATGTGCTTTAACTGCATGTTTAACTGTCTTGCTTAACACAGGCAGCCAATTAAAGTTTCACCCTCACCATCTCCATACTGCTTGGGAGGTGTGTTAAAATTA